AAAATGTGTTAAAGTAACACACTTGTTTTTACAGTGTTGTACTATAAATTATAATAATTTCATATATTAATATGGTAAAATATCAAGATATAAATGATAAATAAAATTAACATTTATATTTAATAAATGCAATCATAATTATAGTGAATATAACTATTTTCTTTAAATCAGTTATTATTTATGTGATAATAATAATTAAAAAATATATTAAGGAAAGACTAAAGATTTTCAAACAAAATGTATGACTATTATTAATAGTTCAATTGACATTGTTTGCGTGATTAAAACAACTATAAATATATAGTTATCCTAAAAAATAATAACAAATTCTAGTTAAATTATTATAATTGCAATTTTTCTCCCTCAATGTACAAGATATTCTCACGTAAAGTTAAAAATAATTAACAGATACTTCCCAGTTCATTTTGCGAAATACCATAAATTTTAAATAATTATTCGTCGCAACTGGAATCCTTTCTGTTTGTGCTTAAATAATTCCGCTAGCTCGGAGTAGATAATGACACAAAATAAACCAGATTATTTCATACAGTACGTCTATATGGCAATTTTCGCACGGAACTATTCAGACGGCAGATTGTTAAAACGAGTACCGTCTCAAGCGAGTTAACTTGAAAGGGGACTACGGAATTTCGGCTAATGCTGGGAAACTCGAATATACACCATTGCGCGTCTGTTTGCCGCTAGATAACTAGGGATACACACGCATCGTGTGCGCAGTACATGGAATATATAGATACTACGTGCATTATACTACGTGCAATGTTCTATTGTTAGCGACTCCCGGATTATGTCATGTAACATTAAAGAGAATTGAAGTAATAAGGTAGAAAATTCATTTTAAAAAATTATTTATTTATATGTCGTTTGGTAACAGCCTAGTATACTACTAAAAATATATATATATATATATATAATATAATAGAAGTCATAAATTATCATTAATAAAATTGCCACTGTCGCAACGTTACATGGAATATTATGACAAAATTTAATTTATTCTCGATTCCATATTATCTCATCAAATATAAATCCTTGGAACGTGAAATTAAATATTAAATATATAATTCTTAATTAACAAACGAAAAAAACCTTTAAATTCTGTATTAATTTATTCCGTCAAAGTTATCGCAATTTCAGGACGCGCATCTATTTCCTGCATAAATCACGGCCGTGATTTATTCGAGGCAAAAATTTATGTACAGCAAATTGTCCGCAAGATCGGCCGTGTGTGCATGACTCGAGCATAACGTTCCGTAATTCCGCGCAATATAATATACGTGTTGTCGCATCGGGACGAACAACACGATTGCGCTGCCATCCGTTCGGAATGAAACTATAGAAGGAAGCAGAGGACGTGGTAGTTGGTGATGGTAGTGGTATGGAAGAGGAGGAGAAAGAGGAGGAAATGCATGGCAGACTCCCGTGTCCCAGGTGATCTCGCGTGCATGAAGCTGCAGCCGAACGAATTGTGCGGGCGACGTATGCTTTTCGACTCGATGACTAACCAGGCCCGGTTAATTGACCAGACGACGTATTTACCGCGGCACAAAGCATGGCCACGACCGGAACCAGCGTGACATTGTTCGTTCGCCATCAAACTGAGCGCGCGAGATTATTATCAATCTTACTCGGCGTTTAATGCAAACAACTTAAATTTACTTCTCTGGGAAGAGACGACGCGCAGCGGACGACGGTTTCGTCAAACCTTAACGGAGCAATATTACATTCGAGTTTATATTGCGCGATCGTAAAATAGACGTAACGTTTCTGCGATGAAATAAAGATTTTCTGATAACGCAATCGACGTCGAATATTACTTCCTTTTTTTCTCTTCATTTTTTTCAGTGAACCGATTTACCGATTTTTCCCTCTCAATTTGGCGCGGACACAATACCCCGCCGTTCGTGACAAAAAGAGAAAAGTGTAATTTTTCAGGTGCGGTATTTTCAGCTTTGTGCTGATATATATGTAGATATAATGGAAATCATTTGACGAATTTTACTACGAGACGGGTTTAACGCTGGAGCAATTCCAGTCCAATTTACACGATATATCCCAGATGTATCGCTATTGCAGATAGCATGGAACATCATTGTGAATACGAAGCGAAGCATTAATGTCATACGAATAATTGTAGAGTAGATAGGTAACTCGAGACTGGAGATTATTTAACCGTTATAAATATCAAGCTTTAATCCACTCCCTGTGAATGATGATGTATTTCTCTCGATACCCACGCAGAAACGTATCACGTTCTCGATTTCACGGGAAATGAACGAAAACCGCACGCCGTGAAATCGGAATTAAAATATACGCGAGTGAAATGAAGAAAACAGCGTGATCTGTACTAACGCGATGAATTAGAGCGGATTTAAACATTACTTTTCCTGCATTTCGTTGCGCGCGCGCGTTATCATGTCGATACAAAAGTGTTTTGCATTTTGAGCCGCGACCGAGCATGAAATCAATTATCGTTGTCGCCGGAGACCCGACCTTTCCCCGATATTTATTTAGCATTAAAGCGCGATCGTCGTTATCCTCGCGATGCCGCGTTCTAACCGGTGCGGTGGTCGTAAATCAGGTGAGGAAACCTGGCTGCGGCGTCTCCGATGGTAATGAATCGGAGAGTCGGTCGACGGCGAGAACGCATTGTAGCCTCGAGTTTCCACGCACCGTCGATGCGCCGTATGAATTTCAAGGGAATTAATGGCACCGGATTATATCTCGTAATCACGTATCTATCACACGAACGACGTGCCCTCCCCGTGGACCTATTTCGAACAAAGGGGAACCGAGTCTCCGCCACGTTCGACTATTAAAATGCAATTACCGATGAACCGTTTAACTCTTATTACACAAGCATGGCCGGATCGATTGTCACGAAAAGGATTCTAAAAACGGGTTACTAAAAGGTCTCTAAAAACAGATGCATGAATATTGGCGACATTTTGAGAAAGATAGTGGTAGATATTTGTGGAATCCTATAATATATTGATTACGAAATATATTGCGCGAATGAGAGAAGAGAGAGATATACGTCCTGAAAAAGATACGACCTGAAAAGATTATTTAAGAACCGAAATGTGAAAATCAATAAATGAAATTATTTATATTTTTCGTGGATTTTCAAGTAAATTTTTAGTGATAACTGATTTAAATTTGAAATATTAATTATTTTCCTTCAAATATGGAAAAGATTTATAAAGTTAATGTTATATCATATGGATGATAGATTCACATAAATTTAGAGATCAGGATCAAGCATGATCGGCAAAAATGTCTCCTTCGAGAATTCGAAGAATGAGTGATGAATACAAATCTGCACGTTTTCAAAAGACTCCTTCGTTTTAGGTATCAGTCGCGTGACGGTACGTTGTAAATACAGAGTTGAATGTAGAGTGATGCAAGAAAGTGTAATTAATAATTTCTAGAAAAAAGTTACTCGACATGCTCCGGCAACCATCCGGTGAATAATGCAATAAACAGAATTGCAATTGCTCGTAAATTGTGGGTCAAGCAAAAGGCAGATCGTTAGGAGTCTTAGGCAAGATAAGACATTTCTGTATCGTGTGTATCTCCAATTAGGTATATCAATCATCGATTACATTCGCTAACGAGGAATTAAATTTAAACCGCAATATAGCTTTACGAGCATGATGAAATTACTATTTCAGGAATTAATCTATTTGAAAATAATCCGGATTTAATAAATTTCATTAATTCGACGTAATATATCTTATCAACTGGCATTCCTGAATTTATAGAATTATGTTAACAAAAGTTGATTTAAACAGATTCTTTAAAACTGAGACTTTAAATATAAGTGTGATTAACGATTACGTACTTAACTTTAACTAATCTTTTTCTTAAATTTTGTATTATTATGATCATATATCTATATAAATAAATATTTTTTCCCTTACTACCCACATTACTATAAACGTTGATGAACACCAACGTTAATTATCGTTTTTTCACTCACTGTGTTTTATCATGAATGAAACATATTATATCGCAAACAAGACAAGGCGCATAACGCCTTGTCAAGAGAGGAATTTTTTTATTCAATCTGTAAGTAACTCTTTCCGTCTACCGCGCACTTTGCTATGAATTATAAGGGACCCTCCTTCGTAGAATTCACTCGTCGTCGCATTGGAGGCAACGACGTCTCTTCTTCATTCATACGTGTCCAGAATCATTGACCGCGACCGCAACTACGTGACGGGATGACGGCCGCGCCTTGGGAAAGAGGACGAAGGTAAGAAGGGAGACGTGCGCGGGGTTCAAGAAGTTTGGTTCTCCGGTAACGGAATGTACACTAGAATCTTGAAAGTGCTCCACGTGGCTCGCAAGGGGCTACTTCGTAGGAATGTAACGTACAGTTTCGCGTTGTCACAAACGTCAAGAACATTCGAAAGGATTAGTTACTTCAACGAGCTCCTGCACTTGCGATTTTAATGCACCGTACTGGTTTAAACAGCCAATAACGCATCCCCTTAACCTTTTTTTCGTTACAATATTTGTTCACGAAAAGAGACCGGACATCGGTCCTAAGAAAATTCTCCTATAGAAAATGCTTGTAATATAATAATATTCAGAATTGTGCTTGGAGGATAAAAAATCTCCATATCAATGTTAATTTTTCATACTTTACCATTTTTTAATGCTAAACAAATGTCTCGTATTTAAGAACGCATATAATTTTATAGAAATTATTTGAATTTAAACTTTTAAAAATTAATCAAAATTAATTTTTAATTTATTATAGCAATTAATAGCTAATTTCGATGCCTTATACAATATTTTATGTAAAGAGAACTGCTCCTTTCCTAATCATTGTCATTACATAGTTTTGTAGTATGAGTGATAATTGATGTGCTTAACGATCAATTTGACACAGTCGTGTTAATTAAGAGTCAGAAACTTACGATGGCCTGTTGATCGACCCCGTTCGGAGGCGGAGGCGGACTGAAGCTCCGGCCGCCCCCACGACACCCGCGACCCCGTTTACCGGAGGAGGGAAGACACCCCCACCATAGGGCGCAGCCATCCCTGTCTGCACCATATGCTGAAAAAAAAAAAAAAAATTTCTTGTGAGTTTCAATGCTCAATTAAAGCAACACAAGATTAAGGGCAAGAATAAATTAAAGGGTTATTTTAATATCGAAAAATGCACTGAAAAAAAAAGATGTTATATCAACAACATTATTTGAATTGAAAATAATTGTATTAAATCAATAACACTATTAATGAAACAAATACGTGCTCTGGTTTTAATAATATTTTATTTGTTTCATTAATAGTTATGAATAAATAAAATTATTTTCAATTAAAATAATGTTATTGATATAACATCTTTTTCAGTGTGTAAACGTGACTTTAATGGCTCAAAAAGTTTAGGATTTCATACAAGTTCGTTTTTATAGACTTGTAAGACTACTAAAAATAATGACTTAATTAATTTATGATTATGATATGTATTAGTTATTTTTCTTGTCATTATTAATACATTACTCAATTAATTATACGTATCAATATTAATATAAGTTACAAACTTCAAATCGAGAACAGGAAATTGATAATTACTAATTAAAACTTTCCGATGTGTCTATAAGAGTTAAATATTTACTAAATTATCCTGTTTACCATATAATTATTTTACATTGATTTTATATATGATCTAACAAATTGACAAATGGAGATATCTCTAGCTTAAAAAGAGATGAATTATCTTTCAATTAATCTTGTAATTTTTAATAAAATCAAAACAATATTTATAATTTATAATAATTTAAATAGATAACAGAAATATATCTCATTAACTTTCTCTAATGTTCAAACACTGTCTCGTCCATCATTCGCAATTTAAGAAAGAGAAATATTTTTCTTACTATAAGTAGGTTTGATTCAGTTTTTCTGGTCTCTCCGAGATCGTTAGAGATGAAAGATAATGGCGAAAATGGCGTTGCCAATTTTTCGTGCGGTGGCGAACTATTCACCGTGACCGCAGGCAATCGTACTTATAGTAGAAAGATTTCTGGCAATGTTCCATTGGAATGTCGTGGCGGGCCACGATTGGTTGAATAATACCTCAACGCGAACCTAGTTCGGTAAAAACATTCTTATCCCAAAAATATAAAAGAGCTAATCTTTCTCGTCTAAAGTCGAAGTTTGATTCTCTTTTTTATAAAATTCACAAATAAATCCACACATAAATATTTCAGACAAAAAATGTCCTTGTTAATTTCGGGCTTAAAAAGTTGGATTAACAATTTTCTAAATAAAAAAACCCAAAAAAATTTTTAACCCTTCATTATTCACGTAGGGTGTTCAGAAACATTCCCATCTTATAAATTTACTAAACACATGTATGAATGCTATTTATATACATTATAATATTTTGTAAAAATTATTTTACAATTTAAAAACAATTTTTGCATTTATCTTTATCTAAAAGATACTTATACAGAATATTATCAATCTTCATTTAATTGTAAATAGCTGAAGAGACTATTGAAAATTGAGATAAACTGAGGTGTCAAAAACACGCACGCTATATAAGTAATCATATTTTAAAACATCACGCAAGTAATGTAGAATTAAATACTTAAATTGCAATATCAGATAATAAAATATTCAATATCAGATAATAAATATGTAATGTGGATATACATTAATCATTGTATAATTCGCGTGTTAAACATATACTATATTAAATATATTATAAGAAATAAAGCTATAAAACATTTCGCCGTTCATGAAGATACAATTGTAAAGCATAAATTTTTATATACTTACAATTTTTAATTTGAGATCGTTTATTAAAAGTTGTTAAATTCTATGTCAGGTAAAAATAATCGATTTTAATTAAACGATTTATAAAAAACAGGTTATGAAACAATAAAAATTCTTTCAGTAGCTAAGCGCATGTGAAAAATTATCAACGTTCAACCAGGCTTTCTAGTTTCGCTACAAGGCCAGATAGTTTAAGTAGAGACAATTTTATAGAACGTGTAAAAGGCGGAGAAGGATCTGCGGGACGGCAAACGATTTACTATGGACAGCAGAGGGTAACTATAATTTATGGTACGCCCCCGGGCTGTGCCATCCACAATCTCGCGCGTGGCAGGTTACAGATGGTTTGTCCAGTTCTCCCTTCTCTCGAGATTATTTCTGAACGCTACCCCTCGACCTCGCTCCGCTGCGAGAGAGCAAAGAGCCATTTGTTATTCCTACCTTGAACATTTTTCTGAAAACTCGATTTAGACCGGATTTCGCCGATACGCACCGGCCGCGCGAGCGAACGGAGATGAAGCCGCGCGAGGAAGAGTCCTTTGTTAAGTCTGAGAAATGAAGAATGTGGTCTCAGTAATTATGGAATATCCGACATCAACAAAGTGCTGCAACGATCCAGATGATTCCTCGCGTCTGATTACGATAGCAAAGTCTATGATAAATTAACAGCTGTCGTTTATATGAAAATGTCAGAAGTAATGGATGTGTAAGAACAGAAGTGTGATTTATCATTTTATAATACGTGACGCCATATAAAAGCAATGAGAAATACATAATATAATATATCATATAAAAGCAATGAGAAATACATAATATATCATAAATGCATATGTGCAGAACATTTGTGCCTCTCTTTTAATCGTAAAATTGATGTTTTAATATTTAAAATGCATAATTATAATCCATGTCGATATCGTCAATATTGAATCCACACACTTGTATAATAAATCTAATTTCATTTATATCATATTTATTTTTAGATTTTATATTTATTTTTATTATCTCAGACTGTGATTTCTTTGAAAATCGATTTCGTAAAGTTTGTCGCAATTTCATTTGCTAAAAACTGTACACGAATATCGAATTGTCTTTTCAAATTTTGTAACACGAAAACAATTTTTTTTCCATCCGAGATTTAATTACGGATATTCCCTGGTAGAAATTTCATGCATTTTTTGAGCAGTTACTAAACAGTTACACCAACTTCTGTCCAGTAACTGAGAAGGAAAACTACTTAGGATCCCAATCAAGATGTAACACTTTGTTTGCAATTACTGCATACAAAAGTTGCGTAAAATCTGAATCCATTTACTGAATAGAAACACAAGAAATAATGAATATTAAATTAATTAATAAGCAAGCCAACTGCTTGTGAAATGGACAGAATAAAACTCTATCAAATTCTTGTCCCTCTCAGTATTGGCACAATTAATGAGAATACAGTAATATTAGATAGTAACTGGATAGGTGTCTAGGAAAACTGCATACATTTCTACCAGAGTTCATACACAGAGATAAATATAATTATAAAAAAACCGCGAAAAAAAACTGTTGGAACAAGATTTCAAAAATCTGATCACGATCGGCGACATTAACAAGAAAAATCTAACGAACACAATGAATAGAAACAAGAGAGGTAATCTCTGCGAGGAAGTATACATTGTTCATACAAAAGACAATCAATGAAAGGATACGTGGAGCAGTGTACCCCACGTGTGAAGGAATCCCTTTAGAAAAGCCTCGCGGCGAATGAGAACTGAAACTAAGTTTAAGCGAAATCGAGGAAAGTCGCCTCTGGCTCTGCACATCACATTCCCCTTCTATCGGCTTTCTATTCCGCAAGCGTAGCTTAATCAACGAAAGGGACAGGATAAGAAAAAGGAGAGCGTACACGCTGAAGAACGTGATCTCGAACCGACCTAATTTTCTATCCCTGGCACGGGAAATATGTCTTTCGATTAACTGAGATAAAGTCACGACTCTTCGTCCTGATCACGAAGATGAAGGACGTTAGGAAGGATTAAAAACGCATTAATCTCCCTAGTCAATGAGTACGAAGAAATATTATAGATTTAACTTCGCAACCATTAACTGCTCCGTTAATTAATTTTTCAAATTTGTTTAGAATCAACGTGTTCGCGAATAAGAGCAAATCCTGGCAAAAGTTTTAACTTCGCAATATAGTCGAGTGTAGATATTTCTTCGTATGTCGTAATAGCTGCCGGAAGTTGGAATGCGGCATGTTAAAATTAAACTCGAGTCACGTCAAATCGAATCAAATTTAAGTCACGTTTATAAGCGGAGCTAGAAGGAAGAGTTTCTGTCTGCCACGAATAAAATATTACGTTAAAATTATTCGTGTTAGCAGACAACAGAATATTTGCGTGACACACGGCCAAATAATTTTTAAAAAATTTCTTTAAATATTGCAGAGATTTATCAACGTTGCAAATATCAAGCGAACATTGTAGAAAGGAATAAATATATCTTTAACACCCCATTGTCAAACTTGAAGATAAAATTCTCAATCTCTTTGAAAGATTTTAGTGGGTGGTTCGTTCTCGCTCGGTCAACGACAGTCTAACAGTTCTTTGTCGTCTGCTCCTTCTTCTTCCCCTTCTTTTTTTTTTATGATCGTGAACAGAGCGAGACTTCCCGCGAGCGGTAGTACATACAAGGGACCATTCAGAGCATGCTTCCCCTTCGGCGTCAGCGGAGCATGTCGCCACAGCTAGCTGGGCCTTACGGCGATCGCGTGCGCGAGCTCGAGGAACGTAATGAAAAAAAATTTTAATGACCCCAACGTTAATTCGATCAGCTACCTCGGGCGTAGAGAATGAATGACGAAATGCATGGCGCTCTAGTGCCGTTTCTGCTTGGTAATGCAATGCACTCGCGTTGCCGTTGCTTAATTGGATACTCCAGGCAAATGATTATTCGAACGGTTATGCGAATTGTCGATTCATCTTCTATTGGGTTCACACGATTAATACGAGCATCGTTGATTCTAATATAACCCTCTTAGCTATTATTTTGAACTAAACTAAATTTGAATTATATTAGAATTAAAATTAAATATTTTTCCGAGAAACTTTTATTTTCATTTCAAACAATTTAATTACGTATTAATCATAGAAGAAACAATTTTGCTGAAGTAAGTTTTTCAAAAATTAAATAGGTACAGATCTAAAAATAATTTTGTTGAACTGTCAAACTAATTATGTTAGGAAATTCAAGATACTGCAAACAATATTTAGTATAAACCAATTTAAA